GTCAATTACGCATTCTTTTTCCCTTCTCTACGAATTTGATTAATTGATTACTTTGTCGCAGTCGACATTATTAAATCTTTTGATAACTTGAAAATATAATACAACTTGAATATCTAATATGAACCGCCTGTGGTATCTAGCTGAGCGAAATATAAAATTTGTGTATTTTTCTGTGTTCATTTATATAGACTCAGTTCTCAAATCCAAATGTTATCACAAACCAATATATTACATGTAAATTTAGAAAAGCTTATAATTTTTGTTTATATATCTAAAAATAACATGAAATTCATGTATTCAAACATTTCAAATTGTTAGTGTTGAACCCTTAACTCGTCTAATCAAGTCTGAAAATTTCGATTAATTTATGGCCAAACTTAATCAACACACAAATACAGAGAAAGGGATCATCTCAAGATTATATTTGTGTGTCAAGGGAAAGGGATCATCTCTAGATCAACACACACGGATACAGACTGTAATGATATGTTACACCATAGATCAAATTTACACATCATAGTATTATTTGCAACGGTTTTAAAAATACTTTTATGAACCAAAGATAGTTTAAACTTTAAATCCTTAAGAAAATATATTTTTGCGCAATTTGCAGGTCAAATGTTAGTTGGTTGGCATTTTAGTCATCAATCATCATTACACTCATATCTTTAAGATTCTTGCATATGACATGGGAGATTAATATATAGGGATCATTCGTTCCACTCATGTAGCAAAATATTATGTATGTGGATTCTCGCATATAACGTGGGAGATTAATAAATATATAGGGATCATTCGATCCACTAATTTAGCTAAATTATTATCTACTATAAATTAGTAGGCATGGGTGGATGCAAACAGACCAATTTAAAACTGAACAATCTTGTTTTCCTCTTGACCTAATCCATGGCGATGTCTCACGTCCAGCCTCTGCTTCTTCTCCTCGCATTGTTCTTCTTCTTACAGGCTTTTGGCACTCGCGAGGTCGGTTTTGAATACTGCAACGGTGAGTATTATTTCATTTAGGGCGAGACCATACTCTTGGACAAACAATGAGATGAACTTATATCAAAGTGGCTATTATCATATAAGAAATTAATTATTTAAGTGCTCAATCTTTAGTGTTAGTTTTTTTTGTTAATTTGGTTTCATTCTTCAAATAAAACCATGGACTGTGGACTGTGGACGCAAACAGACCAATTTTAAACTGAAGAATTGGAGGTCTCTACGATTATCATTGGGCTTGACGACATGAGAACCGTAGTTATTGGATCTTTCATCGCAATGCTTATTGTAAGTCTCCAAGAACAAATTAATATTATTGTTTTTTTTAATTAACGATCAAAACAAGTTTTTGGTGATGATTTCGATTTTTCGACTTCTCAGGCGTTAATATTCCCGTGTCTATGTTATCTCAGCATTATGAAAGGCAGATTAACTAACTTTCAAGTATGGATTTAACTAAATCTTTGATTTTTTCTTCTTTTCTATTTTTATTCATAATGACATATTTTGATTGAAAAGAGTTTGATTTCTCACTTTTTGTGTTCCATATACATTACATCATTAACAAATGTACTGCTAACCGTCAAAAATAATATGCCACATCTGAATTGTTTCCATAATTATGGAGTTTTAACATTCAAGTTTCAAAATTAAGCAAAATCCGGTGTGAATTCGAAAAATCTAGAATCCGTTAATTTCCTAATCAAGTTTATATTTTAAAATATATGAGAATTTGAAATATGTAAAGAAAAAGTCTTATTACCAAATAAACGAAAAATCCGAATGTTAAATGTGCATTACATTGTGAAGAAAAAATAAACAAACGACAACGGTTTGAAGGTAGAAAGTATAAATATATAAAATTTGGGTTTATAAAAAATTAATTGAAAATTTTTAGTTTTTATCAAATTAATTGAAAGTATAAATATACAACTTATGTAAATCTCATCACTCAAGTTTCAAAATCCAATTAAAAATATAAATATATGAAATTTGAGTTTATAAAAAACCAATTGAAAATAGAAAAAGTTTTATTAAAAAAACGAGAAACTCGAGTGTTAAATTCACGTTACATTGTTAATGCAAAACGGTCAATGCCACCGCTAACGGTCAAAGACAAGATCAATGGCAGGATGCCATGTCCGGATTGTTTTCACAACTTATATAAATCTTATCACTCAAGTTTCAAAATCCGAAAAATCCAAAATATATGTCGAATAAAAAAAAAAATATCAAATTAAAACCAATATTTATGTAATAGATTTAGGCAGTGCCGTCCCATGGGTAAAGCAAGAGAAACCCTTGCTTTAAGCCTCCCTCTATGAGGAAAATTTTTAGGCCACATATACAATATGTATATATAGKTCTAATGGTTTGAGTGTAGATAGATAGAGTCTCCACATCACGGGTTCGATTCGAGTCTTTGTCTCTGTTTTTTTGCTCCTTTTGCCATTTTTAAGTGAATTTTTAATTCCCTTTTTATTTTTTTGAATCATAAAGACTCGGAAGGTCGACGGTCTCTCTCTCAAAGATAAAAACAAAAAGTCAGACGATGGCACTGCTTCCTCGCGCGCTGATCTTTTGCCAAAAGGAAGAGATTTCTGATTTCATTTCAGAATTGGATAGCTTACGAATCGATTGTCTAGCGAAGATCGAAACAACGGAACACGAGATTTCAGAGAATTTAGGTAACTTTCCTTTGTTTTTTCTTACGGTTTTTGTGTTTTTCAAGCTCTTTATTATTTGGGTGATTGTTTGTCCGGTTTGGCTTCGAATTTTGATTGATTAATAAAT